TATTGAATTGACGACGGATGCCGCCGTATGGATGCGCAGGCGTGTGCGTGTGCGTGTGCGTGTTTGGCGGGGAATTGTCCTGCCAGGGGGGGCCCGGCGGTGCGTATTCGCCCTTTTTGGGATTTGACATCGGGCATAGCTGCTGGTGAGAGGTGGTGCCTGTGCGCTGCGGTGCTCGGAGACATGGGCCACTCCGGGAGCGAGAGACGAGAGACGTCGTGGCGACTGTGACTTGGTGGATGGATGACAGGCAGGACGGACTGCTGAAAGCATCTCATCTTTCTTCGCTTGCTCAATCTTGGTGCGAGATTGCGAACTGTGCGCCATCGAGATGACCTCCACCAGTGGGACAGTAGCCATGCATTGTTATGTTTTGCGTGCTTGCGCAGGTGCGAGTAATATTTTGGACGTGTCGTTGAAAGCCATGGTCACATAGGGTAGGCGCAGGTTTCATCCCCTCGTACGCAGTTGCTCGATGACTAAGATGGCTAATGCTTGGCGCCTGCCTGACCTGACCTCAACCTGGAAGGTACCTTCTTTCCGTTGCCTCAACTCAGCTGTACAAAGGTACCTACTCTATAAGGCAGGAAGGGGAAGGGGGCACGGGGGAGGAGGAAACGAACAAGGCGACGGATGAACAAGAAAGGAAAAAGCAATGGAAGGTAAGGTACCTTGGACCGGAAAGCAAGGTATCCCATCCCGTAAGGCTCTGGAAATTCCCATTGAGAAAATTCGGAGTGGAAAAGTGCAATGCGTGCCCGACATTGATGGCACGCCGCCGCACGCACTGCCTCTTCCAATCGTACCATGCGTTTGCCAATTCCATCATCTCTCACTTTCTTGCTAGCAAGATTCGCTTTTCGCCTCGTCAAGAGTCAAGAACTCCAAAAAGGATTGGAAACACGTGTACGGCTATCCGTATCTGTGTGTGTCTCCAGTTCCTGTCCTTTTGCGCCCTGCCTGGCTGCCTTTCCTTGGACTTTTTTGGGGGGGCCCCTGAGCTGCACGTTGTCAACGTGGGCAATTGAGCCGTTGTCAAAAGTCTGCAATGACTGAAAAAAAAGAAAAGTGAAAAAAAAAAAAACCAGCCTTCGTCAATCAGCCGCCTACCCACCAACCAACCAACCACCCTTACCCAAAGTCTCCATTAATCATTAGTTATGTGTTCCCGAATTGTGCGCCGTGTCCGACCCCCGTTCGCTGTCCCCTCGCAGTCTATGGTATGTTTGGCAACTTCCGAGCGAACAAAAATAATCTTGGCGTGGGATCCTGGCCAAAAATTTCACCAACTTTTCCTCCCTTCGGACCAAACTCCATAGCACCTGGGCCAGGGGCTCCTAAAGCGTAATGGGTGATTCTGAACTTTCCGGCACTATGACGACTTTTCCCGCAGACCCACAGCTCTGTCGCGAGTGCTCCAGAAGTGTATGTGAATTGTGCTGGCATGGACAGAGTTAGAGTCATCGTTGATTGCAGTCATCAGTCACCCACCCCCATGCAGACAGACAACAAGCAGTAGGAAGAAATTCTTGTCAAACTTTGAACTGGTCTTGATATTTTTTTTTTTGGTTCCATCTCAATCTGGCGGTGCTAGTCCATTCCTCTCTGGAATCTCCGCTACCCAGTTGATCCGTCACTTTGATAATGCCTAATGTTTATACCAGTCCAAGCTGCCATCAGAGGTCATTCACCTCGAGGCTTCCGTCCAATGCTTGGGTCTTTACCCAACTTTTGTCGTGATGTAGGAGCCCTTTCTGCTCTCGTGGCAGGCTACCCTCCACGTCCAATCCCGTGGTGAGATGTAATGAAGCCAAAGGTGATCTCCTCAATCCCTCAGTGCCATGCTTGTAAACAACCCTTGGTCACAAGCCCCTAATGTCGTGGTACAATCCCGGTGTTCCCCATTGTTGCGCCCTGATGTGATTGAAGCAGGTGTCCTGCCAAGCCAGGTTACTCCCCGTAGTTGACCCAAACTTTTTTTATAATGCAGTACTCCGATTGTAATGCCCGTTTTGTTACAACAAAGTCGAACCCAAAGAAAAAAGAAAGAATCGGTGTGCCGATGGTGTATCGAGTAAACTGAGTTGCGTGCTGTGCTGGAAAAAGGAAAAGATGCCGCTCATGGAGTGGCTAAGGGTATATTGAACAGTGTGTAGTAGAAGTGGTCGTGTTTGATTTAGGCCGATCGTCGACGCTGGAGTCTCGCTTGGTCGAAGGACACGGCGTAGGCTTGAAGCTCCCTCTTGGCCTTCTCAGAAAGTTGGCTGGCATCGGTGTTTGACGATGTTGTGCTCTGCATTGAGCATAGGCTGGAGTTGGAACTCGAAGTGGTCAGGGTGCGGCGGGTGGTGGTAGGTGCCCTCGAGGAAGAGAGGTAGGATTGTCTGGCGGGATTGCTGCCGTAGGGTTGAGCGTTGGTGAAGTCGTAGGCGGGAGAGAGGTAAAAGTTGTTAGACTGCTGCCTTGAGGAAGTCCAAGGGTAGGAGGGAGTGTTCAAGCCGGGCGAGCTGGCAACTGAGCTGGGTGTAGATGTCTTCTCGAAGTCGGCGAGGCGGCAGTGTTCGGAGCAGTAGGCAGTACCGTCGGTCTGCTTGTCGCAGCCAAGGCAGAACTCGGGAGTCCAGAGGTCGAAGGCGGCCATTGCGTCTGAATGTGTGTTGTGTAGTTGTTTGAGTTTGGTGTTTGTCTGTTGAGCAGAACCGAGTCGAGAGTCGACTAGTGTTCAGGTCTGGTCTGTGGTGGACTGGAGGAGGTAGTTGGTGTGTTTGTACGTGGACAAGATGTGGTGATGAGTGTGGTTGATGGCAGTTGTTTAAAGAGTTGGACGGGTTGCAGTCGATATATGAACAGAACTGGAAGCCACAAGCAAGAGAGTGAGCCACGAACAAATGCCGGAGGAGAAGATGAGTGAAGTCGAATGATGAGAGAAAGAGAAGTGGATCGAGGTGTGGAAAGAGGTCGGCTCATATGTATCTATCCTCGAAGCACAGCCTGCCACCAGTGGAGGAGCACGCCCAAGACAAGGCCTATGGTGCATACCAAGTACCTGGGCTGGCATGAGTGAGTGCAAAGATACTTGGAAGTGGATGAAGAGAGCGACAAGACACCCACCCACCACACAAACATGCACACACAAGCACAAGGGCAGGAAGTGGCCGCTAGTGTGCAGGTCCGGGGTGGAGATGGCAAGATGGAGATGGAGGGCAGAGAGAGAGCAAGGATGGCATTGGCAATCTGATGGGCTGAGCCAGGACCCCACTTCCAGTACCCTGCAGCAGATAGCGCCCACTGAAGGAGAGAAGGGGGTGTGTGGGAGGGAAAGGCATAGGTAGGGGCGTGGAGGGGTGGGTGGGAGCAAGGCCAGGCGGGAGTGAGTGAGGGAAAGAGGGGTGGTGGATGGTGGGTAAGAGAGAGGGGAGGGGAGCAAGATGGGCGAGATTGGCAGATGGGGGGGGAGAGAGAGAGAGAGAGAGAGAGAGAGAGAGGAGTCACAGAGTTGCAAAGTCACAGAGTGTGAGAGAGAGATTTGTTAGGGGAGAAGGGGAGGGAAGGAAAAAGAGTACGTACTTCGTACCCATCTTCGGGAGGGCAGGGGAAAAGGAGCAGGGGACCATCCAGCAGACATGGGCGTGTGATGATTTCCTCTGAAAATTTTCTGCGTCAAAGGCGACAATTGTGCTCACTGCTCAAAGTTTGAGGGGCATGAGCGAGGTGTGTGGATGGCTGGATAGAGAGGGGGTGCAGAAACATAATTCATCAGCGTGGAGTCGAATTGTGAAGAAGATGGAAGTGCAGAGAAAGCGGGGCAGCAGTGGGACGAAGCATTCGTACTTTGCTAGTTGAAACTGGGCGGCGAGATACTTGGTCTTGTCTGCTCTGTTGCTGCTCTTGCGTTATCTGCTAACTTCCTGAGGATGCGACGGTCCCAAGACAGGCCAGCCAGAGAGAGCCAACTGTCGACGATGACGCCACAGGGCGTGTGGACATCCGAGAACTGCATAACGCAGCAACCCAAGGCAGGCCGCAGTCCACCTAAGGTACGCCTACTCCGTAGCACCTAGGTATCCGTCTAGCTGTGTGGGCAGCAGCTCAGAGTGGATACAAATGGCGTGGGCAGCAAGAAGGCAGCCGATATCTATACCTCTTTCCCTTGTATCGCGGCATCGCCAGGCACGGGTCTGCCCGCTTATGACAGTGATGCAGCGGATTGTGCAATGGAAGACTACCTCAGGCATGAGTACAGATGGCTGCTGCAGACGCTGAACCGAAGCTGCTCGTTCTGAGCCAGTGAGAATCGTCTGGGTGGATACCAAGAATCCATAATGCGCTAGCATTGTTTCGGCCTAGTGGATGCGGGTGCCATTGGCCCAAGCTTGTCTCTGGTCGTTCCTTCACGCCCATGGTGCTGTCCCAACTCCCAACTCCCACCAAGAAAACTGGTCCACTTTCTCCGTCTTTTCCTTGCCCAGGTTCAAACCCATGATCGACACCCACGCCCTCCCAATTGATGCTAGCACAGCTCGACCCCGGCCTCTTTCAAGGAGCAGTCCGGTGTTTGGTCAGATCCAGAGCTGCACTGTCGTCTCTTTTCTTCCTGTCTTGCTTGCTGCCGCCAGAGACATTGGTAGCAGCAGCACACCACCACCCGTACCAACATCGCCAGTATTCGTGCTTCGTACTCCTTACCCTGCATAGGATTCTGGCCACCCTCGGACGACTCAAGAGAAGAATATGTTGAATTGGGTGGTTAATCAGAAGTGCATCTGCGACTGGACCGCAACTTACACAGTCGGCCTCAAAGCTCAGCACACCCAGAGCTCGATCCCGTTCAACGCCACTCTACACAAGCAGTACGCCCCGGGAGCTGGCTGGACCAGTCTAGATCGCGGTTGTTCCCTACTCGCCTGGGCGAGCCCGGACTAGGAGGAGCCAGGAGATGAAGAAAGAAAAGAAAAAGAAAAAAAAAACTCTTCAACCTCAATCCCCCTATCGGTACCCCAACAGTCTTCGAATCCCTACATCCTCCGTGCCTGTCACCATCAGCTTCCTCACAATTTTCGTCGTCGCTAGTATCATGTCCTCTAAAAACACATGGACGCAACGGGTGTCAGCCCAAGATCATGAGAAATCAAATCAGCCCGTTGTCGAATGATATGAGGCATGGAGCCGCGTGGGGGGTTGGTATCCGCAAAAATAGCGACAGCGGCCGTCCCCTTCTCCATGCTCCACTTCACTCTGTGACTCTCTAGAGACTGGAGAACTTTCCTCGAGCGGCAGAGCGGCAGCAAAGAGAGGCCAACGGCGATGGCAACACACCACACGCCGGGCCAAGATAGACTGCCATTGAATACTACGATGGCGGTAGCCTGTGGGGACGGCAAACTCGACATTGGCAGTCCGGCACGAATGGTCCCTTCAAAATTCAGACAACTGATGGATGCTGGTGCAACCAACCAACTAAGCACCACCTTGACGTTTTCGTGTGTCTCTGCTTCTGCAGCGGCCTCTTTTCGTGTCTCGCCAGTTCTGTCTCAAGACGACTCCCCTCTCCTAGCCCACCACAACCACGTAACGACAATGGCAACTGATCGACCCTGCTGCAGCAAGTGGGCGAGGGTAAGGGGAGGGACAGAGACACAGAGACCAGGTGAAAAGCCGTCGTGCTCCTCATTGGCCGCCAGCCAAATTGGGCAGATCCAACGCCAATTTCAACACCATCCTGTCGTGGAGTGGCGTCAGAGCGAAAACCTGGGGTTCACCATCGTTATCCATCCATCCCAGCACGCAATTGAGATTTCGTTGCGCCCTAGGAGTATTGCGAGATACCCGTCGTGCCGTCGTCGGCTTTCGTTGTCAACAAGAGGGCTGTATCCTGGTTTCGAGAGTTTCGACACAATCCTCATGACCGCCTCTACCCAGGTGAACCTGGCATGACAACCAAACGTTATTTCGCAACGGACGACTCCAAGTCCGTCCATGGGTCTACTCAAACTCCCAGTAAATACGAAATGATATCCGTACTGTGGCATCACAACACCCCGAAGCTATGTCACCCTCGATCGGCTGGTCTGCGTACTGCCATCATCGTCTGTTTCCCTAGCCCATTCATCTGCGTTACAGACACTGCGAAACATGCTGTCTTCCTAGCTCATGCGGACCAAAGAACTACACTAGTGCAGCTTGGGAGCAATCCCAAGCTCTTGCAAAAGCCCGAGTACGCCCCCATGATGCACTCTCTTCCTCAAGCAATAACTATGGAGCCCTTCCGTCAGGGATATCGGAGATCTTGTGCTTCAACAATCCCGATGTCCCCACCCTAGGCCGACGGTACGGCAGGAGTAGTCCCGCCGAGAGAAGTCTGGAGGCTGCAGTGTCACGATTCTGCTGTGTGGTGCACTATGACACTATCCGTGACGACGGACGCGTGGAGATTCAATGGTGGTGACATAAGGAGGAAGCTCGTCACATCAACTGTCTCTCTAAAAGCTCCTATCGTCTGCAGCCGCCATTCGCCGTCGATATCTCCGTTGAGGTCCTCCGTGGTCGTCCATCCATGCAGTTGGAATTTGCTGCGGGCCAAGAGCGGCTAAACCAGTTTGGCCACCACCCGCATACGTTCTGAGGCGGGGGAGGAGAAACAGGCTCACAACGTTGAACAAATCAGCGTCACAACATGCCTCCCCACACTAACACCATACCTCCCGAGTCGACCGATGGCATAGTAGGCCGTCCAGGTTGCCCACCTGACCACCCGTACTGACGCCTTCGCCCAAACATGCATTCTGCGGTCCTTTATGCAGCTTCTGCATCACGGATTGTTGCAGGACCTAACCCTGGAGCGGGTTCCCCTATGGATCAGACGAGTTCGTCGCCTTCGTCACTTTGGGGGGACTGACGTCTTACGATGACCCGCGGCCGTCAAAGAGACCACCTCAGGAGCCTCACGAGCATTCAGTTCCGGAGAGACTGGATCTACGGACCACCTACACTAGCAACCCAGTGGGAGAGGCGAAGCTTTGGGTCGTTCAACCACAACCTTCAACGCCGAAAGCCAATCAAGGCCGACGAACAGGACGATCCATCCCGCCATCTTTGCGATTGTCGCCGTGATCGTCCTTCGAGTGCCGGCCGCTCTTTCGACAAGGCTGCCGCGGGTATCTTATTAAAGCGATGATCCAAATAGCAACGGCGATTGCGATCACGAAATTATTGTCTCTGGCAATAGCAGAGAGACAAGAACCCCATGACTCCTATTAGCTTGGTTTCAACGTAGCGGCACCCTTCAGATAAGCCATCTCTTTATGCACACAGCCAATCATGCAGCTTGCTTCGACCTCGCCGAGACCCTTCTTCCAGGAACTGGCACACTCCTCAGAGACATTGTCAGGATGATCATTTAATCCGCCGCCCGCTGATATCTGCATCAGGTTCCTGGGCCTCTCCAACCACCAACCCACTCATATCCGGGAGGTTGTGGGGTTGGGTGCAACCAACCTTGCGTGTCCCGACGGCTCAGCGATTTGGCGTGGGATTCTGAGGGTGAAGGCGAGCCCTAGACTTATCAGTACGCGTGTGGCGTGGGCTACGTCTGCTCAGCGCCCGCACGAGATAGTGCTGCTTCGCCCACAAGTGGGACGCATACAAGCGCCAAGTCATCTCAACCTAGAGCGAGCGAAGAGACACCTGGGAGGCGAGAGTTTTCGCTCATACGGAGAAGGGCCCCTCGCCAGGATTTTGGAGTCGGCTGTCGACCAAGTCCTTCTCGTGGCCTAGACAAGACGCGGCAACTGCGTCAAACTCATTCGGAGAGAGCGACCATGAGATAGCATCGGCTTTGTCGGCATCCGTTAAGTGCAGCAAACAGCACGAAGACGAGATCCTGCCAAATCTGCCACAGACACCTTTAAACCTCTGAAGGCGGGAGCCTCGGACTTGGCTTAGATGAAGAAAGCAATAGAGTTCGATCGAGTTGCGGCCGGGATGGAGGGCTAGGGACAAAAGGATTCGCACTGGCTCCCGTCTAACGCCGTTGGTACGCGCTGAGGCGAGAACCAGTCGCGCCAGCCTCAAGCCAAACAATTGCAGTATTGGTGAACTGGTGCGCTTATCTGCTTCTTGATTATGGGATGGGTCAATCCAAGGATGATCAAGACGAACAACCGCGGAAACCAGATCAACCACAACCCCCACACCTGCGGCAAGCACTCGATGAAGAACCCACAGCGTCATTGTCCCGATATTCTGCCTCCTGGAGATGCCGTGGCCCGTTGCTCTATGCTGAAGAAGAGGACAGTCTCGATTGAGCCATGTTCCGAGCATTATTTCGGTCGGATCCGGCGAAATGGGGGGGGGGGGGGGGGGGGGCAGATGAGGGTCTTCAGTTATTTCAATGCACGCCGATGATCCCGCAATATCCCGTACTAGCCCTTATCTCACAAACCCTTTGCGACGGCCACCGGATGAAGCTGCGACATCGAGCACAGAGTACGGAGGATAGCTACATATCGTCATCCCTCATGCCGAGAACCAGTTTTGACATCGATGCCGCACCGCATCTCCAAAGTCGAGACTAAAGAAGGCATTGCCGTGTTCCTGACACGGGCCATGCGCGAGAACAAGGACTAGCCCTGCTCCGCCCGCAAAGGAGGACTGGGGATAAGGTGGAGGTCAAAGAAGGCGTGTTCGGATCATGTCCATCTTTGTCTGTCTCCAGAGGTCGACTATCGCAAAGACTTCACCTGGGTTCCTGACCCATGAATGCGAGCCGCTGCTTATCTCTTGTTGTGGTCCCAAGACTCGGCCCGTTAGATTTTTCGACGATGCCAGGTGGATCGAGTGCGACAACCAGACTGCCAGACTGCAGTCCTTGAGGACGACGCAGATACCTGACATCTCAAGCAAGGAAAGTCCCGAGCTCTGAGCGAATCTACCCAGCTGTCATGTCACCTGGGCTAGCATGGCATCGAGACCTGTTGTCGTCGATACGGATACGTCAAGCACGATGACAACTACTTGCCGCTGGAATTCTCCAGAACACCCCCAATGTCTCACAGTCACCCCCGTGACACCGTTCTTTTCCAAGCTGAGATCTTCTTAGTAGTTACCCGCAGCTTATTGGACGAGTCGAAAACTACATCTTGATTACCAACGCCAGGTCTAGCCTTGTTTGGTACGACGGAGACGTAGGACCTTCAGTTCAGCAGAAATCGTGTTATTGAAGCGCAACCGGTAAACGACGAAGGCGCCACTAATGAACGAGGGCTGCCTCGCTAAGTGCGGGCGCGTTTTGGAAGCCATCACGGCGTCGGCCGATCGTTGTGTGACAGCAATGCACGTAATTGTAGAAGCACCAGCGAGACCCCCCAATGCTTCGACCAGACGTCGAGCCGCGCTGTTCTTCCTCAAGTCGCTGGATCTAGCTGCGAATTTGCGTGCTTGCCATGACTGCGGCCGCGTCGACTCTGGCCACGTACGGAAACCCCGTACCTTGCAGCAAATTGCCTCCCTCCTCGAAGCACCGCTGTAACATACAGAAAGATTCCATCTCATCCGATATCATTAGTGGGGCGCGGCACGTACTTTACTGGACGGGCAGATTGAGTTCACCAGGCCTGAAGGAGCACGGCAAGATTCAAGTCCCCGAACCCCTGAGCTCAGGAGCAGAGTTGCCGGCTAACGAAGTGAAAAATTCCAGGGTCCGGGACGCAGAATTCCACAGCTCAACGATGTCGAAGTGTGAGTCAATGAAGCAAGCCCCTGTAGGCGTTGAGGGATAGGCAAAAAAATCTGCAATACTCGAGCCGCCAACGTTACCGACATCCTCTGCCTTGGACCAAATCAGGTGTGGTCTCCGGAAAGCACAGAGCACGTTATTTACACACAGACACCATTCTGGGTTTGATTCGATCTTGGCTACCATGTAAGCGCGATCGTTGTTCGCGGCCTCTGCTCTCCCCATGTCAGCAACTGGGCATGCGCTGTCTTAGAGTCACCCCTCTGTCGTGCTCAGCGTCCCCCACGCTCTCGCGCTCTATGGAGTACGGGGTACGGATATAGTATTTCCCTTTGCTTTAAAAAAATAAATTTCAACCCTTGACGAGAAGACTGACCAATCCATGCCCTGGTCCAATCGATATACTGGAGCTGCAGTGTAACTACACTACGGATACACAGCGTCAGGAGTTTGTGCGAAGAAAATGGCCGACTGGCGAGAGCGACGGGAGTAGCAGGGGAGGCCTGTCCATTCAAGTCCTCTGCTATAGCCCGTGTTCGGACAGCCGTGTCAACCAGTTGGAAAAGAAGCGGCGGAGAGACGCAAAGCGGCTCAAGGCCAGACGTCTTGCAGCCCCTTTCGCAACTCGAGTCCACCCCGGCTTCACGAGAATCATACCTACACAGCAGTCTCAGACATTTGCTGTTGACGTTATTACAACTTCGTGTCTTGTTTGAGCAACAGGGTCGGAGGTTGTGTCTTAATGACGGTGGACACCTGCAGGGCTCCAGTCTCGATGATTTCCCTTGGAGGAACCGGCGAGCATCGCGCTGAGGTGAGCGTCCGCGCCGCCACGGTGAGGATTGTGCTGAATGCAGCAAGGCGCAAGTGGTGCCAACCCACGCATGATGAAAATCCCAATGGTGAGGAACACAGGCGGGAGAGCCCTCAAGCGAAGGACCGCTCTGTTCCCGTTGCCTAACCACTGTACTGGATTCGAAGGCGAGTGGACGGTGGGCTCGGACAAACACGTCCTGCGCCAATAGCAAACATGCGCAACAGGCATGCTCGCGCCATAGCGACGAGCATGTTGGTGTTTGTCGGTTTGCTCGACGGTGTCAGACGCCTCTTGTCTGCCTCTTCACCTCATTTCGGGGGCGATTAAGTCCCCTTGATTGGCTCATGACGATCCCCTGTATCGATTGAAATCAGATGGTATCCGTATGTTGGCCCATCATTTTTCATCATGGACAAGAAGCACACAAGCAAGTCGGTTTACCGGTTTACCGAATGACCCCAGATGCCTTCAAGCCAACCAACCCCCCATGCAGCCATGTATGTATATGTATGTCCCTTGCCTTTCCCTCCTAACTCAGATAATTATTGCTTTTTCCCCAGTGGTCGTGCGGCGTAGGTCACGGAGGAAAAGGGTTTAGACGAGCAACAGCGTGATG